AGGGTATAAATATAAGATTTAGGGTAATAATATAAAAGTGAGATAATTATACGATTGGATAAAAATAATAATAATCAAGTGATAAATTATAAAAATTAAGAAAAAGGGAATTTCGCATAATCAAAGAAAGATTATCGAATTAGAGAATTTTATGTTACTACGGTAACAATAGCACGAACGGTATGCAAAAAATAAATCATGACAGAATACATGTGTTATTGTTTTCTAAAAACTATTTCATATAGACGGTCATATTTTTCGAATGCTTCGTCAACCATATGTTTCTTCCTGTTTGTAATCCATCATTAACATAGCTAATAAAAATAGGTTAGGGCACAACCTGTTGCTTCAGCATGCCTTTCGAATTGTGTAGTTGTGCTCAGATTTTAATAAACTAAATTTGCTAGATAACCGAATTTTCGTATTTTTCTAACCACTTCAGTTTAACGGGATTAATTGGAAGAATTCTTTTGTAGACTGTATGGAATTTGCCAAAGCAGCAAAAAACTTGAAGGGATTGATATATACCTTTTTAGTTGTCAGTTCTTGTTCATTTTTATAGATTCCTGTTATAATTAACTAGATATACAGTCAAACATGAATATAACGAAGTGTTCGGGCTGTTAGTAAAAAATTCTGTGAAATTCAGTTTATCGAGTAAATTTGGTGAATTTACTTGAGCTGTTCTCAGAGCCAACTTCAGTTTATCCAGGTTTAATTAGTGCTTCGTTATATCTAGGTTTGACTGTAGCTCGACAGTAAAAAAAAGGTTAATGAGTTCTCGTAAAAGTCGTATTGGCTCACAAATTATATGAAGTTAGTTTTGATAAAGTGAAAAAATGTAAATGAAAGTATCGACTCACACAGTCATTCTCCTTATAGTGGACAGCCTCTATAATGGAGACTAATTAAAATCGATTAATATTTAGATTTGCTAATTAACTCTCGATATAGTGGATTTTTACTAACAGATTTTTTGATACACTATAAGGAGAGTGACTATGTGTGTAATGCAAAATTGCAATGCTCAAGTAACTTGAACTCGAACATGGATTCATATTAACGAGATTTTGAGTTCTCTTTTCAAGATGACAAGATATTCACTGGAAAAAATTCTTAGATTCTATCATAGCTTTTATTGATTGCTAAACAAAGACATAAGAAATAACTTTGATTACGCCCATTAAGTTGGTTATGTTATAAAACACTAAAATTTTATTAATCAATGACAATATGATCTCAAGTAATTATCAAATTATTTTTGAATGTATAAAATCTTCTCGAAATTTTACGACGATTTTTTAATCATTTACAAACAAAAGTAAAAGTAAATTCTCATTATTACGGCGCGTTCTATGTATGAATCGACGTTACTTCAGCGTCTTTATTCGAGAATATATGCTTTGTTTCGTTGGTGATAATTTTCTGCTCAACAGCGACATCTAACATTCGCCAAAACTCGGCGTCTTGTTTAAGACAAAGTCTTTCAGTATCTGCTTTCGAGAATAACGGAAGTTCATGGGTATTATTGTAACCTAAAAAACAACGGTTAAGGTAGATTCGCGTGATCAGTTCATATAGTAAAGTAACTTAAGGAATATCAGCAGAATAATATTTACAATACATCAAAAGCTCTGTTGATGGCTTTTTCTTGATTGAGTCAGGTGTCTTGTCATTGCTGATTTGCTTCCAATACCACAAACTCTGTAACACCAGATCACGTTTATGTAGATTTACTTTGGTTTTGCAAACATCTTCCACTCTTTGTCTGTAGCCAACAAAGTGGCATTGGGATTAACTCCAATAATTTCATACGTAAGATTTAGAGTTGCTGAACCTGGTCGAATTGGTTTTAATATTGTATTTTGTGTACAAGACCTTTTAAAACTAACTGGTCATATAGGCGCAAACAAACAGATTCCGAAGTTATTTTTGTTTTCCATATTCTTCGAGAGTCATCAATCCTTTAGCAACAAATCCTTATTCTTGTCCATTATGAAAACATCACTAACATCAACCCTACTAACGCGGGCAAAGGTAGTAGTAGATTCACGGGCATGACATCATTCCAAAAGCTGCTTTACAATTCGTAACAAACGCAAACATCCTCTCGTACATCATGCTATATGGCACCATATTTCATTCGCCGCTTGCAATTATCACATTTCTGACATTCGGGAATAAAATTGTCGCCGGGCCAATGATATCCATCATATACAAATTGTTGCCATTCCATTATCCAATTTGGTATAATACACAAATATACCAATCAGGCAAATGTGAATACTGCACCCAAAAAACCAAAGTGTATTCACACTGCTGGTGACTGTATGTGAATTTTACTTATAAAGTTTATATACAATATTTTATGATTATTATTGAAATGTAAAAATACTCAACATACATTAAATTATATCTCTTATATTATATTTTGGTTCTACTTTGAGAATGATATCTCTTTCTTGAAAAGTTATAAGTTTTTAAATTTTGTATAATAATATTGTTTTTTAATTTTTTTTATTATTGAATTGTTAAAAAAACTCAACATACAATTAAACTATATTCTTTATATTATTTTAATAATAATATATTTATTTCTTGAAAAGTCATAAGCTTTTAAAATCTGTAATAACAAAATTTATTAATATATCTCACACCCAATGTATTATCGTTATCGACATTGTGGATTCATTTTGTCCTAGTTGAGAAGTTTACATACAATTATTGACTTATCATGTGTTACATGCAAAATTTCTTAGCGTTACATGGATTCATATTGGCGAGCAGGTCTATCTTCAAGATTCTCGGACACTTGCTGCGAAACATTCTTAGAGTTTGTTATTTTTATGAAAAATTTATAAAAATACTGAAAATTTTATTAATCAATTAAATGTAAGCTCAAATAATAATCAGCGTAGATAAAAACTAAAAAAATTCGAATTTTTGAACTTGATTTTTATTGGGTGTAAAAAACAATGTTATGACAATTTTCACAAATAAAATTCTCATGAATCGACATTATTTCAGCGTCTTTATTCGAGAATATATGCTTTGTTTTCGTCGGTGATAATTTTCTGCCCAACAGCGACATCTAACATTCGACAAAACTCGGTGTCTTGTTTAAAACTAAGTCTTTCAGCCTCTGCTTTCGAGAATTCCAGAAGTTCATGAGTACTTTTATAACCCTAAAAAACAACGGTTAAGGTAAATTTACGTGATCAGTTTATATAGTAAAAGTAACTTAAGGAACAGCAGCAGAACAATTTAATGAAGCATCTTACAGTACCTCAAAAGCTCTGTTGATGGCTTTTTCAGCAGCTTTCTTGATTGAGTCTGGTGTCTTGTCATTGCTGATGTACTGAATCAAGGGAATAGCTTTCTCAAAGACGGAACTATTCTGTTGGATAATTGAGGTCATTGTTTGCATATAGGTGAGCAAAAACTCTTTTCCGGCATCACATTTTTTTAGCTTCATCTGCGTCATCAAATTTGCGATTTCGTGTTGATGCACAAGATCCAACCTCTTCTCTTCGAATTTGTACTTTATCTCCATCTCATCTTTATAAAGTTCAGCATGCCTCTTACTCCCTGCGCTTAGGATTCTTTGAAAACTTTCGTTGGCGCCCATAACTTTAAAAGAGAATTGTCCAAACTATCGTTCACATTCTGTAACTAAGTTGGAGAAATAGACAGTTCTGGGATTTACTTACCGGAATAAACTATTGTTTGTCACTCGAACAAATTAAGAAACAGGTTAATGAGAATGAGGATGAAAAACGTATTTAAATGATAAACCAGTTAACAACAGTGGCTTTTATTTTCCCACGACGAAATGGCAAAATTAGATTTGTTACGCCGATCGAATATCACTGTGAGAGTTGTCATTTTCGTCTGATGGTGTGCAAAAGAAAATTGTCATTTGACAGTTCAAAAAGTGATATATTTATGTTTATTATTTGATGTTTGTTCGGTAGAAAAGAAACAGAAAAAGTAAAGAAGAAGTTAGTTTTTTGGTTTGTTTTGGCAATCTAATTCTAAAGAAAAATTATTTTATAATTAGGAGGTGGTATACGCGCTTTTAAAGCTAAACAATGGAATTACTTGTTATATTGTACGTTTTTCTTTAATCGTACAGCTAATAAAGTTTTTTTTTGAATATTGTAATCGATAATTTTCAACTAGTTAATGTTAATTAGTTAGAATATAAAATGGTAAGACCATAAACTTGTACAAGTAACCCTTTTTTGGGCCCTATATTAGCAATCATCTATACAAAATTAGATAATTCTTGATAATTTCTTATAAAAACAACCTCTTAATATATTTAGTTAGTTTAATGCTCCACTTCCATAGAAGGGTTGCTTATTCGTATTTCATGCCTGAGAGTAATTGCATCAACAGAGTAGTCGATAAGTTTGATTTATTTATTAAGCAATGATAACATTTAACTTATTGTTATCAAGTGTAGCAAACTGAAACTCTTAATTTTATCAAGCTCTCCAATATATATTATATATAGCTCAAATTTTCATTATGAATAGTGAATTAATATCTACACAGCTCGATAAACAGGATTTCTTAATTAATTCTGTTCTCCGATTACACAAATACAGTCAACTATCGATATAAGAAACCTTTTATATAAGAAACAAGAACGATTTTACAGGTCCCAATTGAAATTTTATAATAAAAGACCTTTGATATAAGAAAATCTCGATAAGAAAGATTTTGGTTGGACTCGGTAACTTTCTTATATCAAGAGTCACCTGTAATAGAATTTGTTGCTTTATTGTGTTTTTAACCCGAAACATGCAACAGAAAGTTGTAAATATATTCTTTTTATTAAATTGAATAATTTTTTGCAAAAATTAACAAATCTTATACAATTTCAATAATTTTAAATGAAAATTGTTTTTAGATATTTAATTAAAAAAATCACCTATATTACATAAACACTTGTTTTTGGGATTATTTTTTTTAGTAAAAAAAATTACATAAAAGCACATTTTAGAGGATATAATTCAATTTTTTTAGATTGTGAATGTATAATTCTTCTACATGTACATATACGTACGTATTTTGTTTTCTGGTGTTGTTACATTTTCAATAATGTGATGGATCGTGTATATAAGTATCCGATTAAAAGTAAAATTTTGTTTTTGATCATATATCGATATTCTATATTTGAATCCATAATAAAAATTCGTAGTATGTCCCTCTTTGTTATACATGAGACCAACGATTTAACTTTTCTGTCAATTCAAAAGCTAATTCATTGACGGAGACATTAATTTTCTCAATTGTCAAATCAATCTTTCACATAGTGTTTGGACCCGTCCAAAAAAATGTGACCCGGGTCACCCGGGTGGGCATGCTTAAAATCATATGATTGGTTGCATTATCGCAGTTTGCAAATTACCTATATAATCGCCCAAGACTCACTATTCTTGCAATTTATTGCATATGTAACTTCAGGTCGTTTGTGCAATTCAGGTGAGCTGATAATCTATGATATTCGTTCGTTACAATGAATGCATTTACATTTTATTATATAAACTCGTGGAAATGCCTTTGATTTTCATGTACTTTTTTATTAGACTTTCGATATCCTTGTTTTCGCTAGTTAATTCAACTTTATAAAGTTGATAGTGATAATCAAAACACTCACAATCGTTTCTTGACAACGAGTTCATTTACTACAATCATGAATTTGTAGTTTTTCTTTTATGTCACTCGTATTATACACATTTCGAACAAATTAAACAATAATAATAAAAGCCAAAATTTACAAGACCACAAAAATTATGAAACTATATGTTACATCATAGAAATTAAAGATATAGTAAATCTGTAGCATGTCACAGCAAAATGGTGAACTTCTAACGGGTTAACCAACGGGTTGACCCACCCACATTCATCCGGGTGGCTATGATTACAACCCGGGTCCAAACACTACTTTCACAGATAAATCCGCTTTGCTACGAATTTCATCTCGATAGAACTTCCAGTTAGAATTTCTCCAACGCTTACCTAAAGCACAATTTTTTGCAACATTTATAAAATTATATGATTGAAAAAGTAAGATAAAATTTAGTTTCTCGATTTTTGCTATTAAGCATTATTTTATAGTAGATTTTTAAGTAAATATTGAATGAAATCTCGGAAAACGAAATTAAATATATGAATCAACCGCAAATTAATTATTAATTTTATCACAAACCTTAACTTTTTCAATATAACAAAAGTCTGATTTTATTTAATCCACGCATTTTCTTTTTACCAATATAATCAATAGTATAATGAATTAATCAAAATTTGATTATACGCAAAGAAAACAAGGCATATCAAAAAAATAATAACGGTATAAAAGTCAACCGATTAAGAAAATGAACAAGACAGAGAAACATATGTGTATTACGGGTTCACGAAGAGAATCACAATATTCAATAGAATACGATGGATTTGATGAAAAAATAAAGTAAATCAAAGTTTGATAAACTGGATGAAAGTTAAAAGTTACCTTTGTTTCAACGCAAGTAATTCCTATTCGAAATATAAAATTTGCTACGATACAATACGTACGTATTACGTACATGTATTAGTGCATGTGAAACGAAGAGGAATTACTCCAAAAACATACGATGGTGCCAAGATAGCTGGTTTGAAGATTTAGAATAAATATATTATAGTTTATTATATCGATATATAAAAAATTTATTTTAAAAAACGATTTTTTAAAACCCTTACCTGTACTTACCCACGTGTCTAGTATCGACTTTGTCCGTTTGCGATATTTATCGGCATCAATTCTCCACTTCTCATTGTTCAGTTTCTTTAATGAGGTGTTTCTCCGCCTTTTTTTACATCAGTATATCACGGAGTTTTAGATAGTTCCAACAATTTTACTATCTGAAACGTAATACGTATACAATTGAAATTCCATTTTTTTCTCATTTAAATTCTGTTTTGAGTTACCATGTGTTGTGAAAATTAGGACCGAATTTGGCGCGATTAAAAAGATGCACGTACGTATTTAAACTAAGGGTCTGTTGGTTTTTTTATCATTATAAAATGTGTTTTAAATTCCTAATTCGGTTTGTGTTTTTAGTGCTTTTTGCACATTTGCATCTCAATTGTACCATCTAACTTTTAAAACATAAATTCAGCAGAACGGTAAAAACTACAAAAGAAGAAAATACCGAAGCAACAAATCCAACAGAAAATACCGAAGCAACAAATCCAACAGAGATAACTACAAGAGTTATGTCTCTCGACGAAAAACTCGATGAACTCGATCGTTGTAAAAGTCAATTGACTATTACAGAATACCAAAAAACCAGACAAGCAATCTTGGACAACTTTTCTAGAGGTAGGTTAAAGATGTCCTATTTAGCACTTTATCCTGCCTGTGTATGAAATGAATATTATTTGACCATTGGCATTCAACATACGTTCAAACATTTCATAAATGGCTACAATAAAAGCTAATAAACTAAAAAAATTCTGAAAGAAATTGTATGACAAAGCATGCAAACTCAGCAATTTATTTATTCGCATATTGTTTCTTCCTGTCCTTACCAGTTTAGGTATGTACTTGGTAGGCGGTTCCAACGTGGGTGCAATTACATGTACCATCTAGACGACTTTTTCGCAAGAATGTTGGTTCAAAAATCCTGGCATCGCTATTTTTTACGTCTTTTAACCAATTTTATGTGGAGGGAAGGAGGGTGCTTAGTTTTAGTTTTGCTTATTGTCTTCAAACTTTTGATCATTATTTTCCTTTAAATGTTAATTTCTTATAATAAATTAGTTATTCTGTGCTATACGCATCTTAACGATTAAATACTGCGAAATATTTTTATTTTTATATGCTATCATTGGTTTATTTGAGTTCGCAGTCCCGGATAAAAACACGTTAAACCTTATTGACACTTACAGAAATTTGATATTCACAATTTTTCATATCCCAAACCAAAAAATTTGTCTCGATCCCGAAATCGGTCCCAAGCTTGAGGATAGCATTATAGCATTCAACATGTATTTGTAAATCGTTATCATTTATTTATTTACAAAATAAAAAATGAATTAATTTGTCTTAAAAGATGATTTTTTGACGACAATGTAATGTTGCGTTCCTTTCAATATTTAACCAAGAGGGGTTATTCTGTGTCGGTTGGGGGCACCAGATTATTGTATTTATTACAATAGTCAATCGATTTCAAGGAACTTTCTGCAACGGGATGAGAATTAGACCGAATTATTTACAGTTGGAGGGTCTCGCCGGTTGTTCTAAAGGTTTCCTGTGGCGAATTTGTTCACAAATCAACCTTTTTTCGATAAATAGGAGAAATGTGTGTGTGTGTGCGTTTAAATGAGTAGATAGAATAGAACCACTCTTGTAATAAGAGTCGAATTACTATAATAAAATCTTGTCTATTCAACAATAATCGATATATTCATGAACGTGTAGGACTTATTGACACGGCCTATCCAAGAAAAACAATATTAATTTCGACAGAACTTATTGATACGGCCTGCTCAAATATTAAATATTAATTATAAGTCATATAAAAATTTTGTATACAATTTTGAGAAATTAGCTATTTAAATAAAAATTACATTATTATATTATATTACTAGTAATTTCTACTATCAAAAAAAAAAAGCATTTTCAGTTTGATCAATAAATTATAATTTTATAAAAATCAACTCAAGAACTATTGCATGGATTTTGGTATTTTTTTGGTTTTTTTAAATCACAAGGATCTTAAGAATTTACAAATATCGTATAGTAAATATATAAATCTCCATTTAATTTTAAAGTGTCCACAACATTCTGCTAGGCCACTGCAACAAAATCTAATGAATAAATTTTATTTCATGGATTAGAATCTTATTTTCATGGGTCATTTTGTTATATAAATATTAATAGAATAATGCCTCGTTCAATGCCATTAGCAAAAATAGCAGAAATTTAATTAGGTATATTCTAAATTAATTTTATATAAAATAAAACGGTCACGTTTAGACGTCATATCTTGACATCCAGTGATCAAATTCAAACAAATAAACCAATTAACTTGATGACAAGATACCATGATCCAAAAAGATGATTTTTAAAAAATGATCTAATGCACTGACTGTGATCCATTTCAAAAAAAATACAACCATTTGATCCACCTGGATGAGGCTAATTAAATCAATTCATTGAATGCTAAGATGCTCTGACCCAAAGTGACTATATCATTTTTAAAGATAATTTTTTTCAACTTTTTACTGTCTTTTTTTGGGTTGAAGTATCTTAATATCCAGTAAACTTTTTTTAATGTAAATATTACCATTTGATTCATCTTATCCAGACAGGATCGAATAATGGTATTTCATTTGAATTTATAAAAATTTAATGCCTAGTACAGTATTTTATTTGATTCAAAGCAGATTTGCATGAATTAAAAGTCAATCAAAAAATTTAGATTCATGTTAGATAATAATTGATACAAGCCAGATACAGCTTATATGATAAACTGAGAAAATTATTTTACTCATCATTCCCATAACGTCAAACATAGCTTTAAGAAAATTCGTCACGTGTAATTTGTTCCATATTATTTTCGCTGGGTTTTTCGTACTGGATTTTGATAGGGTTGTTATAAAATTTTGTCTATTGCTTGGCCATAAAGTTCTTAAAATCACCATACATCCGATAACGATAACAGTTGTGACCCACTTTATTTAGAATCTAATCAAAAATACGTAACTATATTTATAAACTCACACAAACACATTCACAATTAAAAAATCAACTAAATAAAAAATGACATCGACTTGTTATTGACTTCACATTCAAACAGACTCAATAATTCCATAAGAATTCCAACTATTGTGTCATTTTGATTATTGTTAGTGAAAACCAGAATACTCAATGTACTTTTTCAGCCACTCGACAATAATATTGTGCATTCGCACTTTCTGACACGAGAAATAGACAATACTAATTCTCAATAGATATATTATAGTGGAAGCATTGATTTGAAACACCATGTTATTTTAACACTTTGAAAATCAGCGACTAATATAATAATCCAAAAGATCAAATTGAATCTATTCAATTTATCTAATACATTCTGAATATTTGATAGTTTTGATCAACCGAATTGTATTTTGAGTACAACTATTTATCAAACTTCACAAATATCACATGTCAAAATCCTGCTGCTGTTTTTTAATACGGATTTTACCAAACTGTAGTTTATTTGCGAACAAAATTGACCTTTGGAAAAAGGTGCTTGAAACTTTCAAGCTGCAATGCTGATAAAACTGATTCTATCAGAAAAGTAGACACAACGAATTTAAGCAATTCAAATTTACGCTCAAAATTGATTTTGATTTTTATAACAAAGTTATGCCCTATGCCAGGAATGCATTATTTGGTGCCAGAAATGAAGACATACTGTTTCCTCATATACGGTTCGTAAACTCACAACTGTCGACTCTTCAATTCTTTCGAAAAATTAGTTTCCAAGGTAACTTATTGAATTGAAGCTGTTGCTATGAGGTAATCGTGATGGATTTAAGAATACAACTGCATTGTCTGTATGAAAATAAAGGTCCAACAGTTGTTATCATTTGCGTAAAGAAGAGGAGATGATTATTACGTTTAGTTCACTTGGAAAAAGCTACATATGTTTAATCAGCTTTCAGGCTAGCAATAGATTTTTAAGCAAGTATAAAGAAGAGTGGGGTGTGTGATGCTTTGCAAAGTATGGCCTACTTTTTAGAAAGTTAACTCTATTTATCCCCAATGATAATACTTCTAAAAATTGCTCCTTTAACTGTTGAAACAAGTTTTCGGTATTGCGAAATGTATCAAGTAGTTCATTTTTGCTATAGAATTTAAGTGATTAAAGGTCAATCAAAAAATTATACAATGTACGTACGTATCAGTTTTTTATCATTGTTATATACTACAGCATTACAATGCACACAATCTCTTAAAAAAAACAAAAACTATCGTTTCGTTTGAAAGGTGGAGTCAGCATAAGAAAAATAACAAACGAACGAAAGTTTAGTGTTTCAATTTATCAAATATACAAAAATGTCTGGTAACTTAATTTCACATACAAAGAATAAGTTTCAAATTTTCTATATATTATTTACTTAATAAAATAATAGTTTAGTATTAAAATCCTTACATACGACTAAAAAACATCGATGATATCGACCAGAATATAAAAAAGTAACAGATTTTAACCTATAAAGATTATCAAGTTTTTTTGCTTAATAGATGACAGTATTATTGGAAGCGACCGGGTTAACCATAGAAATCACTACGCAAAACCTAGATTCAAGTTTGGAGATGGTGTTTTTCTTTATTTTTTTTATAGCATTAGATATTTTACAAGTCAACATGGCAATAAATAACGAGTTATATCAGAGGATTTTTGGATAATTTTGTAAATACTATCAAATATTACGATATTACTATTGAATTTTCAAATAAGGTAATAACAGAAAATCTATAAAACAGTAATAAAGTGACCGTTTTAGAATGAGATTTATATGGGTATACATATATTTTATAAATAAATTCGTATTGTCCTCAGGATCTCTAAATAGAGGATTGGAACCTCATCATAATATTTGAGCGGGCCAACAAATTACAATTAAGTATTTGTACAGTTTTAACTTTATAGGTTCCCTGATTACATAATAAATAATATTACATTTATTACACACATTTTTTAATAAAATCTTTTATGAAAAGTTAAAATTGCAATTTTAACTTTCTGATCCTCTCAAATATCATGACAAGATTCCACCTCATGCATTTAGAAACCCACATTTTATAAAACTTTTCATTGTAAGGTGCGGTATAATTACCCGAAACACATTTTCCCCAACATGACAATTTCCGACATGACATTCCTCGACACAGCATTTTCCTGATAAATCTAGCTCGTACACTAAACAAGAGGAAACTTTACATATAATCCTAACTCTAATTCTAATTCTAATTCTAACCCTAACCCTAACCTGTTAATTACATACCCAGTTGATACATTATGTCACAATATCTCATCATGTTAGGGAAATCTCCATTCGGGGAAACGGGGTGTGGGGCAAATGGGATCGGGTAATTTTACTGTCGGGTTAATGGTGTCGGGGAATCAGACGCCTCCCACGTAAATCCTTCTGTACACTTGGGTCTGGTTGGCTAATAATCCTAACAATAATCGTATCCCCATACAATTACAGATCAACCAATCAAATTTAACCATACAGAACTAAACCCTAACATCTCCCAATTGATATTGATACATGTGTTAATTGATTCACTTAATATCAGAAAAAATTCATGATGTTAGAAATGTACAATGTAATTTTCAAAGATATGATGCATAACATCAAACGTTTATATTTTATAAAATGTATAAACTTCTCTAAGTAAATACAAAATTTAATCCGTGAACATGGTCAAAAAAAGGACTGTTCTATTATATTCACGTATTAAATTTTGAATTCATTTCTTAATTGAGAAGTTTATACATTTATAAAATCAAACGTCTAATGACTTTAGATATGCACCATAATAGTATAAATCTATTTAGATTTAGTATAATAAAATGTATAACTTTAATTCAAATTTAGAGTTATTATATTAATAATCATGTTGAAAAAGAACAAAAAATACAACAGCAAATTGAATAAATTTTCATTATAAAAAATCACAAATAT